ATCGCCATTTGGTCATCTGGTGAGATTATCTCTGTGGTTGGGGGCAGCTGTTTGAGGTACGTTGCTCTTAAGCTTATCTACCCTCTTCGACAGTTCTTACCGTGAGGTTGTGTGTTCCTTCTTGAGAGTCCTCTCATCGTGAGGTGTCGAGTGCGCTCAACCTTGAGAGTCGGCAATGTTCATGTGGAGCATCTGGGAGAAGATGGGCGGAGCTTTCTGAAGGGCCCTGGACGAAGCACTGGGTCACGGTCACCATGCCAACCCACAGGGAGTAGAGCATGCATGCCTTGCTGCTTGTCCTTTCTTCGGCTTGCTGCGCTGTTAGATGGGTACTACTGGGCAGGCCAGCCCTACAGGAAAGACGAGCACCCGACGTCCATAAATAACACGGGAAGGGGATATCACTGGCTGTGATCGTCGTCCTGCTGCGCCGTAAAATAATTCCTGATGTCACTTGGGGGCGAACGTTAAAATGCCTCTTGATCAGCTAGTGATGTAAGGCTCGCGGCACGCCGAGGATAAATATACGTGCAAGGCTGGCCAGCTCAGCGGTTACTCGGGGCACAGGGGTGGGCCGGACACACACCTTTAGACACGTGACGCTCTCCAGATTGCTCAGGGACACTGACGTCAAGTGATACTCAGGGGAACTAAGGGATTCCAGGTGATAAGTTCGAGAAAATTCCATGCTGTCCTATCCACACAAATGATTCTATTTTTATGTTTTTGATTAGTTAGATGTACTGCCATTGACATCTGACAGACAACATTAGTTAGAACTGTTTATTGTTCCTGGTGCTTCTGTTTGCGGACTAGTCAGACTAAAAATAGTTTCAGTTGTAGGAATCTGAACTTACCTGTTAGAACCCGAATGTATCTGCTCCGAAATAGCCACCAATTCAATATTTATTTATTTTAAATTGGTCTGTGCACTCTGTGGCGGTAGGCATCTTGAATGTCCTAGTGTAGACGTTGCACAGTGCTGTAGCATATGAGCGACACAGAGGACACATTACAGGACGACCGGATCTTGCGATCGGCTAGGCGCCCGATAGCCCACGTGTCCCTAGGACCCGAGGGTGATAGGATTCTGTTCCGCCAGCTTAGGGAGAGGCAGCAGCACCAGAGGAGAGCTAGAGCAGCCGAGGCCAGCAGGGCTTTGGCTAGAGAGGCCGCTGCTACAGCAGCCATGGCCACTTCAGCTATTGTCACTCTGCGCAGCAGACTTCCCAGGCTAGCAGTTCAGGTATCGTCGGGTCAACGGTCGCGCAGATCGTGAGTCAGTCCACTGGCGTGATGGCAAGCCAGGCATTGGTTTTGACCCCAGAGGTTGTCGCCATCCAGCAGGCAGCCCTGCAGGAGGCACAGCTACAGCGGGCATTAGGAGAGATAAAAGCGTAGAAGGAGAAGGTAATTAGAAGAAAAGCCAGGATGCAGTGTAGAGGGGCAGACATAGAGGAGTTAGAGACGATGGACCTGACGAACATGGATGATGATGTGAGGGTCGTTAGGAAGGCCCTGCTAGGAGTAATAGAGATGCAGGAACATCAGACTACCATCCTTCAGGATATCCAGCAGAGCCTAGCCATTCTGGCAGGGCGTTCTCAGGCAGCACCATCACCATTCGGGCCTGGTGCCTGGCCCGTGGCATATCCTCCTTTATCTGTCCCACCGGTGACAGGGGTATCCCCATATGTAGCCCCGTCATCGGTTGCTATCGTTTCCCTGGGCATGCCGCTGTCAGGAGGGGTAACAGCAGGGAGTAGTTTGCAGGTTCCTTTTCAGACAGTGTACACCCAAACTCCGTCGCAGGTTGCAGTCACCACGCAGCCTGCTGTCTCGCAGCCTGTGCAGCCTCAGGGCGCGCAGCCCTAGCAGCTAGCACAACAACCTGTGTCACCGGGTCCACAGCTCGGAGTGGTGTAGGGACCGGGACAAACTCAGTGGGTTTCGAAGACGGCCATTGCCGCTCCCAAACCTTTTACAGGGGACAAGAGAGGCGAAGACCTCGACACATGGTTGAGGTCAGTGCCAGTCTATGTTAGGCGCAAACTTACCTTGCCGCACGAAGAAGTGCTTGTGGCTGCATCTTACCTAGAGGGTAGTGCAGCAAGATGGTTGAGCGGTTTAGTGCAGCTCCAGGGATATGGTCATGACTTCCGCGCTTGTGCAACCACCCAGAAACTGGATGACTTCCTGAAGACGGTGGAGGAGAGGTGGCATGATCCTCAGGAGGCTCAAAGGGCCACTGATGCGATCTTGACACTGCACACGAGGCAATTTAAGTCAGTAAGGGAAGCCACTGACGCTGTTGAGCGTCTGATCTGAGTCCCAGGGGTGCGCTATGACCCCCAGGTCCTGCTGACTTCGTACTTGAGGTGCTTTTCTCAGCCTCTCAGGAACCAGTTGGCAAGAGAGGCCAACATCAATATGCACAACTTCCCTTCGTTCAGCAAGATGGCCCTAGACCTTGAGGCTAAGATAGGGCATGGACAGGCACCCACTACGGATGAGAGAAAGAAGACATTGCCTCCTAACTGGAAAGCGAAAGGTCGCTTGATGTTTGTCGACAACGATGGTTCAACCATCGAGTTGGACGGCAACTTCCAGGAGGGAGTAGGTTCAAAGGCAGGCAGCGTAGACGCTTCAGAGGGTGGAGTAGTCGCTGCCGTATCTCAAAAAGGAAAGGCGACCGGTAGACGCCGCGGAGGCTCCCGGTCTAGGAGTCAAGTCGACCCCAACGCTCCCCCATGGGAGAAAGCGGGTCTTATAGAGGATGTGTGGAGAGACCGTTACTCACGGCAGGCCTGTATTCGTTGTGGTCAATATGGCCACAACCAATTCAAGTGCTGCAATAAGAAGGTGATAGAAAAGATCTCGCCTACGATGGGGCAGGTGCTGGGATCCTCTCATCCCGTTGGTAGCAACGTTGCCAGTACTTTAGGCAGTGCTCCGGGAAACACGTCGGGCCAGTAGGAATAGTAGTTGTTCCTGCTAGGGTCGAGTTGGTGGAGACACCCTCACCATCTCGAGAGATGGCCCAAGCTACTGACTCCAGCGTCGTCCTGCAAGCACATTCAGACCTATCGAGCCTCTGCTCGATGAATGTGTTTGAGTCCTTAGAGGAGTTAGAGGTGGAGTGGTCTAGATCGTACCCGCTAGCTTCTTGGACGACACTAGTCAAAGCCCCGAAGGGTGAGATGTTCGTCAGCGAGGTAGTCATTGGTGGCCGCAAGGCCGGAGCCTATTATGACACTTGCTCGACTAGAAACTTTATCAGTCGCGCATGCGTTGAGAGGCTGCGTTTACAGGGGCGAGTGCAGCGCCTGAGTCGACTTGTGGAATCGACCTGTGCCAACAAACAACGCATAGTAGTCAATGACTACCTTGAGAATGTTGTGTTGTTTCCCGTACACGGGAGGGGACTTGAGACATCGCGTCTCGTTCCTAGTGAGTGACGAGCTCCCAATGGATATGTTGCTAGGGAGGTACTACCTCTCTGTTGCACAGGCCCAGTTTGACTGGGACCGAAAAGTGGTCAAACACACTTTGCCAGGTGGAGGGACCGCCAGATTGCACAAGTTCAAAGCTAGTAGTCTGATCGAGTCCCATGGATGCATGTGTGCGGCCACGTTCTATAACTATTATAAGCAAAATCAGGAGGAGGGTATGTACCTAGTTTATGTCTTTGCTGCAGGCGAGCCTGTGAAAATGTCGCCGGAGATAGAGGGAGTAGTTGTGAAGTACCCTGATCTATTTGAAGAGCCGACAGGGGTTGTTGAGAGAGAGGTCGTCCACGCGATAGAGATTATCCCAGGGTCTAGTATTCCGAAGGGTAGGATCTATCGGATGTCTCCAGGCGAGCTTGATGAGCTTCGCCGCCAACTCAAGGAACTCGTAGAGAAGGGTTGGATCCGGCCGAGTGTCTCTCCTTATGGGTCTCCAGTTTTATTCGTACCTAAGAAGAAGGAGGGTACCTTAGGGGCCTCTATGCCATCACTGTAAAGAACAGAGAGCCCCTACCACGCATCGACGATCTGCTAGATAGAGTGCAAGGGTGCCGGTACTTCAGCAAGATAGATCTGAAGTCCGGGTACCATCAGATTGCAATCCGGCCCGAGGATCAACACAAAACCGCCTTTTACACCAGGTACGGTCTATACGAGTTTGTGGTGATGCCTTTCGGCCTTTGCAATGCTCCTGACACCTTTCAGCACGCTATGAATCGGATTTTCCATGACTACTTGGATAAGTTTGTCATCGTGTACCTCGATGACATACTTATTTTTAGTAAGACTGTCGAGGAGCACGTTGCACATTTGGATAAAATCCTCAGTCTCCTGCGACAGCACAAGTTCAAGATCAACGGTGAGAAGTGCGAGTTTGGCCGCACCCGTGTCTTGTACTTGGGTCATGAGATTTCCACGGAAGGGTTGAAGCCCGATGACGCGAAGGTGGCCAACATTCATGACTGGCCGCGTCCTCAGTCTGTGACTGAGATGAGATCATTCTTCGGGATGACCGGCTACTATCGAAACTTCGTGGAGAACTATAGCATAGTTGCCGCACCTTTGACTGATCTGACCCGCCTTGACACCACATGGGAGTGGACTGAGAGATGCGAGGCTGCTTTCAGACATGTTGACGCATTACGAAGTCTTGAAACTTCCTGATCCTGATAAGCCATTTATAGTAACTACGGATGCTAGCCAATATGGCATAGGCGCCGTACTTGCAAAACAGGAGGGGAAAAAGTTGAGGCCAGTAGAGTACATGTCCAAAAAGATGCCCTCTCAGAAGTTGGCAAAGTCCACCTATGAGAAGGAACTCTATGCGGTGTACAAGGCTCTGACCCCCTGGAGAGACTATCTCCTTGGGAGGTTCTTCATCCTCAGGACTGATCATCAGACCCTTAGATGGATGAGAACTCAACCGGTACTCTCTGACGCTCTCAAGCGTTGCATCGAAGTCATAGAGCAGTATGAGTTCGAGGCTCGAGCCCCAGTACATCAAGGGCTAGTACAACAATTTCGCTGATGCCTTGTCTCGTAGACCAGATTTCTCTGGTGCGCTGATCATTGAGTTTGGGCTTGCGGATAATGTTACTCAGTCTTTGGTGGAAGCCTATCGGGAGGACCTGTTTATGGCCGAGATCATACGCAGACTCGAGGCGAAGGACAAAGTAACTTCTGCCGAGTTTGAGTTGGTCAACGGCCTGCTGTTCCTTGAGAAGGCAGGGAATAAATGGTTGTGTGTTCCGCATAGCGAGTCTTTGCGTAGTTTGTTTTTAGGAGAATGTCACGATGCCACCGGACATTTTGGTTTTAAGAAGACTGCGGCCAATCTGATGCAGAAGTTCTGGTGGCCCTCTATGATGAAAGATGCGAAGCTGTACGTGGAGACTTGTCAAGTCTGTCAAAGGGACAAGCCACATACTCAGGCTCCTCTTGGGCTCTTGAAGCCGCTTCCGATTCCGGAAAGGCCCGATGAGAGTCTGTCCATGGACTTCATGGATACGCTGATCACCAGCAAGAGTGGAATGCGTTATATCTACGTCATTGTGGATAGATTTAGTAAGTGTGCTAGGTTAATAGCAATGCCGAAAACAGCAAAAACGGAGTATGTGATCCGAATGTTCAAAGAGAACTGGGTTAGAGACTTTCGTTTACCGAAGTCTATTGTTAGTGACAGGGATGTCCGGTTTACCAGCGAGTTGTGGAAGGCCGCTGCTGCAGACCAGGGCACTCAGTTGCAGATGACTTTTGGGAATCACCCAGAGGCCAATGGACAGGCTGAGCAACTGAATCGCGTTGTACAACACCTGTTGAGGCACTACATCAAGCCCAACCAGGTGGACTGGGATGAGAAGCTGGCTCTCATCGCCAGCTTGTACAACAACGCTGTACACAGCGCCACCGGGGTGAGCCCAAACAGCTTACTGCTACGTTTCAAGCCTAGACTGCCCTTAGACTTTCTTCTTCCTGAGAATCAGACCACTGCTGCACCAGGTACCTTAGAATCTGCTTATCGGTATGAACAGAAGATGCACCAGGCTGTAGAACAGATGCAAAAGGCACAGGCGACAATGATAGAGTCTGAAAATAGACACCGCCGTCCTTCTACGTTTCAGGTTGGGGACCGAGTCTGGGTTAAGTCTTCAGAACTGGGACAGGAGCACGGGATTTCCCGCAAACTCATGCCCCAGTACTTTGGACCCTGGGAAGTCTTGGACATCGTTGGGACAGATCCGGATGGGCCATCTTATGTTATCCGGATTCCTGGTCATCTCCGTACTTACCCTGTCTTTCACGCCTCCAAGCTGCTACCTTTCAAAGATACTGAACAGTTTCCATCTCGTCGCTCAATGTTGCCCCCAACCATGGATGGAGAGGTGGACATTGATGATATTGTGGATCACAGAGAGCTGCCGGTATCAAGACCAGCAGGCAGGGGACGTCCTCCGAAACCGAAGCTGCAGTACCGCGTTCGGTTCCGGCATCACACTGATCCAAAGGAGGACCGCTGGTTCACCAGGGAAGAGCTCATGCAGACCGCTCCTCAAGTTGTAACCCAATATGAGAGATCTCTGCAGAAGGGAAAGCGCCCTATGATCGAAGACTGAGCTTCTCAGAGGACTGTTGAAGCTAAGGAGGAGGGAATGCGAGGCCATTGCCTCTATGAGCCCCATAAGCCCCCATTTTTGCAGCCCGTCGGCCGCCCTAAGTGAAGGCAGGCTCGACGAGGCCCTCAGGGCCCTTTTTCTGGCCACCACGCAGCTCTGGGAAATTCAGGCAGTTGCGCAGCGCCAGTTGGTTGAGTGAACCCAGGCCCTGGGCCGCCTGTGTGAATGTATGTGAAGCAGGCCCTGGGCTGGATACGGGTACCGGGCCAAACACAGGCCTAAGGCAGTTGGGCACATGCAACCACTTCAGGCCCAAGGCCTGCTCTCGTCGTGCTGGG